TAGTCTTATGTTCCATTTGAATACAATTTGGTAAAAATTGAGTAAAATTTGGTGAAATTAAGTTAATTTTATTAAATTGAGTGCAAAATTTGTAAATTATTGAGTATATTTGGTTGAAAATAAAGAAAATTAAATTTAATAGAGTCAAATATAATTAATTTTACACCTAAATGTAAATTTGAAAATGATAACAATAAAGGATGCCGCTAGAGAGCCTTTTCAAAATGCTAACACTAGCATCTAATTTTATTGACTAATATTGAGTGAATTGGTTTGAAACTAATCAAATTAACTGTCAAATCAATAAAATTTATTGTAATGAGATGAAATTAGGATAAAATCTAGTTATTCCATACAATTCATCATATATTCCTTTCGTTCCAAAAAGAATGTCACACTTCACTATGTAAAAATTACGGAAATTTTATTTGTTTCTGCGTTATCATTTATATGTATAACTTATCTTTAATTTCTACATATAATAAATTTAAGACATAAAATTTTGTACTTTTTTCAAGAAGATAATCCATTTTATGAGGGAATGAACAAGTAATGTAATTAGTTCAAATGGTAAAATGAAAGTGAAAATTTCAAAATATAATATGCTTATTGAAAGGCAAACATAGTTTTGAATTTAAGGATTTTAGTTCTAATCGGGTTCGGATATTATCGGTTTCAGATCTAATCGGTTTCGGATTTTATTGGTTTCGGGTATTATCGGATTCGGATCAAATCGGTTTCGGGTTTAATCGGTTCGGATATTATCGATTTCGGATCTAATCAGTTTCGGATTTAAATCGGATATGAATTATTTAGTTCGGTTTCGGTTCGATTCGGATCATTTCGGATTTTCGGTTATAGATCGGATCTTCATTTTTCGGGTCATTCCGGTTTCGGTTTCAGATATTTTGGTTCGGGTAATCGGTTTCGGTTCTGTTTTGCCAGGTCTACTCTTGGGTCAAGGTTTTTGGTCAAAAATCATGAAAATTATCCTTCACTTGGTAATCCGTGTTTTTTACCCTAAAGATTTAGTTTTTAACTTTCATTGCTTAGTTTTTACTTTGTATACCATACATAAGTGTTTAAAACAGTTCGTTTTAAATTTAGGAAACTTTGGTTTTTGACATTAGTTCTCGGGCTTGGTTTTTGACTTTTGGTTTTTGAAAAACTTCAGAGAAGCCCAATAATTGATTATCACCATATTTTCAACCAAAAAGTCAAAAATTCAGAGAGCCCTGATAGTCAATTATCCAAAATATGACAATCGACTATCACAGTTACCGTTGCCTTCCAACGGCTCTATTTTTCACTGTTTTAGTCAAAGATGCCTTGATAATCCATTACCAATATATGATAATCAACTATCACTTGGTTTTAGACAAAATCTTTGTATTTTTGTTGGCTTGTCTCTTTTGGATTGGTTAGCAACACTCACCCTTCTTCATACCCTATAAATTGAGGCCTTTGGCCATATTTTTGCAAGATCAGCACCTCCCATTATTTATCATTGTATTCATATCTGATACAATTTGATAATAACTTGTCTTACTGAATATTGAGAGATATGGCCCTATATATAGGGAATACAAGAGTAATCAAAGTACAAGTAGAAAGGAAAGAATAATCCTAGTAGGAAAGGAAAGAAGTATCCTAATTTAATTATACTTTCTAATATCCCCCCGCAAGCTGATCAACGGAGACGAGGGGCAGCTTGGAACATAAGTACTCAAAAGGAACTGGCGGAAGTGGTTTGGTAAGAATGTCTGCTAGCTGCCTCGAGGAGGAAACATGATGTGGAGTCATAGTGCCTGCCATAACCTCATCTCGTACAAAGTGACAGTCTGTGCCCACATGCTTCATGCGATCATGAAGAACCGGATTTTTGGTGAAACAGATAGTCGACTCATTGTCACAGTATAACTTCGGTTTGGACGGAGGAATACCCAGTGCATCAGTGATATATCGAAGCCACATAGCTTCTGCAACCCCTGCAGCCATAGCTCGATATTCAGCTTCAGTGGATGATCTAGAAACACGAGTCTGCTTTTTCGTGAACCAAGAGATGATATTAGGACCAAGTAGAAGTATGTAGCCCGTGGTAGACTTGCGATCATCTTTATCATTGGCCCAGTCAGAGTCAGAGTAGACAGATAGGTCGAATCCCCCCTTGCGAAAAAGAAGACCATGATTCAAAGTGCCTTTGAGATAGCGCAGAACGCGTTGCAAGGCATGATAGTCCTGCTCAGTGGGGTTGTGCATAGTCTGAGACACTCGATTAACAACATACTGAATGTCTGGACGAGTGGCAGCCAAGTAATGTAAACCGCCAACAATGCTCCGAAAATGAGAAATATCCTTGAAAGGCAACGAAGGCTTAGTGATAGGTCTCGTAGCCATAGGAGTAATAGCCGGATGACAGTCAGACATCCAGCTCGGCGTAGAAGATCACGGGCATATTTGGATTGATGGAGAAGTATAGAATCTTGCGTGCGCTGAACCTCAATGCCAAAGAAGTAATGAAGAGGTCCAAGTTCTTTGAGCTTAAAGTCACGGTGCATGGCCTGAGTAACTTCTGAGATGAGAGTAGAAGAGCTGCCAGTGAGAACAATATCATCAAGATAGACAAGGACAACAATAGTCCCACGAGAGCAGTGTCTGGTGAACAAGCTGGTATCATGAATGCAGCACTTGAATCCAAGGCCCTGCAAAAAAGAGGAGAGGCGTGTGTACCATGCACGGGGTGCCTGTTTGAGACCATATAGTGATTTGAGGAGCTTGCAAACATAGTGAGGATGAGTGGGATGTATGTACCCCGGGGGCTGCTCCATATAAATTTCCTTGTCCACTATACCGTGAAGAAAGGCATTGCTAACATCTAGTTGATGAAGAGGCCAATCACGGTTGAGTGCTAAAGAGAGGACCAGGCGCACTGTTTGTTGCTTGACCACAGGACTGAATGTCTCCTTGTAATCAATGTCATACTCCTGATGATAACCTTTTGCGACAAGACGAGCCTTATACCTGGAAACAGATCCATCAGCATTCCGTTTAATGCGATACACCCATTTGCAACCAATCGGAGTGCGGTTCTTGGGTGGTGGAACCAAGTCCCATGTACGTTTCTCATTCAAAGCAATAAACTCCTCATCCATAGCTTGACACCAAAAACTATTACCAGAGGCTTGGCGGTAAGTGCTAGGCTCAGTGGTAGGTGGGGTAGTATCAAGGGTGGTAATGGTATAGGCTTTAGGTTTGAAAATTCCAGATTTGGCTCGGGTTTGCATGGTGTGTGTGTTTTGGGGCGGGGGTCGGTTAACCGATTGTGTGTTTTGGAGAGGAGTAGGTGACGGTCGAGGGTGGGTTGGGGTACGGTTCTGGGGTTGGACCGTCTGTGGCGTGTCCATAGGGAGGGTGTCGGGCTGTCGTCCGTGACTGGTGGGACGGGTCTGGGGTTGGACCGTCAGTGGGACAGGAGCATGTGAGCCTGGGCTTGGAGGAAAAATAGGGGTTATAGGAGAGGGTGACGGGAGGGATGACAATTTGGGATATGGAAACTGATCCTCGACGAACCGAACATGACGAGAGACATAAACTTTTTGAGACACGGGTTCATAGCATTTATACCCTTTAGTGGTGGGGTGATATCCTAAGAAGACACAAGGAGTGGAGCGTGGTTGAAGTTTGTGGTGAGTGTAAGGGCGGAGCCATGGATAGACCAAGCAACCAAAGGCACGAAGGTGGGTATATGTAGGAGGACGGTTATAAAGAGTTTCAAAGGGAGATTTGTTGGAGAGAGTTTTGGTGGGCATACGGTTGATAAGATAGTTTGCTGTGGCAAGAGCTTCGACCCAAAAGGTAGTCGGGAGAGCAGAGTCGTATAGAAGAGAAACAACTGTTTCAATGAGATGACGGTGTTTCCGTTCAGCGACCCCATTTTGCTCAGGAGTGTAGGGACAAGAGGTGTGATGAAGGACTCCTAAAGTTTGAAGGAAAAGGCCAAAAGCGTTATTTACAAATTCTTTGCCATTATCACTT